TAAAATCTTCATGAGTACTTATATAATGTTTATACATTCTCACTCAAAGGGTAAATTAATAAAAATAATTGTCAAAGGGGACCCATGGAATATGGGAGTGTGGGGTGTTGGAAAGTCTTTTCAGTGTATACTTTTGATTACCATTTTGATTTTTGAATCATGTAAATATTTACCTATTCAAAAGTAAAACATGAATATACATACCTACATATAAGTATATGTTTGCGAGGGTCAGATTTTCCTTTAACTTCATACCATACAAAGGAGCCATGTAACTATAAGAGCATTCCTTTGAATATAGAAAATTATTTTCTTCCTTAAATATCCTAGGTTTTGAGGAAGTATCTCTGGTTTATTAAAGTTGGTCTGTGTCCTCACCTGAGTAGACTTAATTTGAAAAAGTTACTTCATCTAAAGAGAGGACATGATTTCAGATGAAGTCAAGGTATACACTGTTACATGATTGATGGGCCGTTCATTTGTCCTCTAATAAGCTGGTTACCACTGACAAATTTTAGAGAAAATGTCAGGTGTTCATTTTGTAATTAGTTTCTTCAGATGGCCCAGAACTGAGTCTGATGGTAGAGGGGAAATACTTTTTTTGGCTTTGTATTTTTTTAAAATCTTGAGTGCTCTGAATCTTATAACAAAAGTGTTTATGGGTCTGTTCCTAACAGTTGGATTTTTTTTTCCCTAAGAGAGATTTCTCTTTAGAAAAAACTTTCCTTTGAAGTAAGCTAATTGTTTATTTAGAAATTTAACTTTTTGCTGGGTACATGTACATATTGTTTTTGAGGGTAAGAATTTAAGAGTCAGATTTTTTTTTAAATACAATACATAGAATATACTTTCCAGACGAATCCAAGATGTACATCTTCATAAAATTTTAGATTATCTTATTTCTGTTTTTTAAAGTAAAAGACATTACACTAACTTAACGTCTTTTATAAAGGTAAACTTATTTATTTTTAAAGTTATGATACCATGTTATGCAGCATTTAGAATCATTTTCCTAATGAAAGTCATTTGTTAACTATAGCAGAGAGTATTAAAATGTAGTAAGTCCAAATATTTCTTTTTTTCTGAAGAAACTTTTTAAGTACTTAAATAACTATAGGCACACAGTTTACTTGTAATAAAGAATGTTAATGGGGAGGGTAGGAGTTAATTAACTAGACCCTTAATAATGGGCCTTTCTAGTCCAAAGAATCTTATAATTGCCTCCCTCCTAAGCTAGTTGTGTAGCAAGTTGCAAGATAAAATATCTAGATTTGTGAAGTAGTCATTCTGAGAAAAAGGTTGCCTTCAGGCAAACTTTGGTATTTATTATTATGTAAAATGGCTTTTTAATGATAAGCAGTACACATTGTCAAAGTAATTTTGTAGGTAGAAGTGCAGTACATCCTGTTTACTCAAGATTAAATGAACAGATAAGGGTAAGACTCTCCAGTGAGCCCAGTTTTTGCTTTCTTTGGAGAAATAGAGTCTTTTGGCCAAACTTTGCACGCTTAATACTAGTCTGATAGTCTTAAGAAGATATTGTCATGATTACCAAGAATTGATGAAGTGTGTGGTAATTTTCTTGAAAACTATATTTTAAATGAAGGAAATGGAAAAACGTACGGAATATTTTCATTAAATGCTAATATAAGAAGTATGCAGGTTAAAATATAACTTATTATATAATTTCTGCAAATGCTATATGCTCCAAACTGGTTTACTTTATTGTACCCCCCCAAAAAAAAGAATATTTAATTTCTCCCTCTGGGATTGCTCATTTTGTATCTCCTAAGCTACTTGAAAAATGTGATCGCTCTGTGCCAGGACTGCAATAGGATAACAGTTAGTGGAAATAGCCTGCCTCGCCTCTGTTGGGAGGACTGGATGGAAAATATATTCTATTTTCAAAATGTTTCTGAAAGCACTTATTTGTGGAAAGGATGCTTGCCATTTAAAACTCTTCAGAAATGCAGGTTTTACAAAATACAAAATAATCTCCTTAAAGTTTGAAAGGGGAAGGGGGCTGTCGTGTGGGGGCGGTCTCATTTGCTGCCCACATCCTCCCTCTGTTCAGTGCGTTGTGTGCTTACGGGTTCCCTGGAGCGGATCACCATATAATTGATGTGCAGTCTGCATTGCTGAATCCTGGACTGCACCATTCTGTGTTCAAGGGAAGATGTAATCTGATCCCTCTGCTGCTGAGGGAGGAATCTGTTCAGTCAAGGCTTTGACAGGGCATAGTCTCCTCCAATAATCTTCTCGGTTCTCTCTCATTATTCCCTCGAGTTCTCCTCAGTCAAGCTGCATGTATGTATGTGTGTCCCGAGAAGCGGTTTGATACTGAGCTGCATTTGCCTTTACTGTGGAGTTTTGTTGCCGGTTCTGCTCCCTAATCTTCCCTTTCTGACGTGCCTGAGCATGTCCACATTAGAATCTGTGACATACCTACCTGAAAAAGGTTTATATTGTCAGAGACTGCCAAGCAGCCGGACACACGGGGGCACAGAATCACTGAAGGGGAAAAATACAGAAAATATGGGTTTCTACGGCACACTAAAAATGATTTTTTACAAAGTAAGTAATCTGTTTTCTTCCTGTGTTGTATGATTGTGTGTGTGTGTGCCTGCCTGAGAAGGAAAATCTGTATCATCAGAGATGGCTGCAGTATCCTCTAATTTTGGTGGGTGGCTAGATGGCTGGTATTTGGTTTTATATCGTGAATGTAAGCAAGTAATGCAAAGACAACGTTTGCTGTAAACAGCTTTAAATTTAAAATAAAATGTGTGTTTTAATCCGGGAATTTTTCACTAAAATATATTTAGACTTTAGAAATGTGGCTCCGTTAAATGCTGACCTGGAAATACTCTACCCTTAGTTGGCTTTTAGTGAGTCTTTTGCGTTTAATTTTTCTGTATCTTATACATATTTCTTCTCTTTTTCTTTAGTTGACTCTTTCAAAGTCTAGAATCACTAGAATATCTGGGACTTATATTTTAAAAGATCGTATTTACTTTCTGTGCCCCTTAAAAAATTGCAGAATTAATGTTTGGTTCTAAAGTCAGATTTTTCAGTAAACAATATAATATTTAAAAGACTTCTATAGTCCTATAGAAAGTGCTTTATTTTGTAAAATATTCTGAAAATAAAAATACTTTCCAAATGGTTCCCTTGATATGTATTTTGGGTATTTTTATCCATTGAAGGGTTTCTAAGATGGAAATAAAGTTTGCTTTTGGTGGCAAATGGCATTTGCACCAATGTGTATTTACAAGATACCCAGGGAAGTTCTGAAAGCCAGTATCACAGCTTAATTAGAGTGACTATCAAAGTTTCTCACTGTAATTTTGAAAATAAGAATCTGTGCAAGTTATTAAAAAAGCTAGATCTTTAAGGTAATCTGTACCAACTGACCTTGCTGATAGATACAGTTGCGTGTATGTGTACGTGTGTGTCTATAATTTATATATATGCCAGCACGTGGCTATCTATATATTAAACCCTATATATTTATTTTTGGTTTTTATTAAAATTATCTGGAGAAAGGAAATGATGGTTTTTGAGAGGAATCACTTTAAAACAACTTAATGAGTACAGAAACTTCTGAAGGATTGAATTAAGACCAATTCCATTTCTTTCCAGTAGGTATTTCTTGAACTAAGACATAAATTGTGAACAAGCTTGCTGTACCCTCACTCTAGCTCCTGATACCATAAGATCATCACTGTATTTTGGAAGACTTTTTCATGATGATAAAAACAGTCTTTATTACCCATCTTGTGGTTCAAAATTTGTGAGAGTCTTGATGGTTCTCTTTAGTATTTATAATGCAGCATGCTGTTTTATGATGTTCCCATGTGAGGCAATAGGTGAGAAACTAAGTCTGCTGCAAAGCAAGGGTTTTTACCTTATTCTAAAAATGAGGGTAGCTCTCTTATCACTCTGGGGCTTCCTCCTCCATGTAATTTTCCATAGTACAGTAATTAATTAGCAGACACAAATCTGAGGGGGTTGTTAAATAGAAAAAGTTGAATCTTATCAGATCTTATTTTCTAGTTTTATAATGTATCTATAGTCAGATGACCTCAGTTAATGGATGGTAAAATGTAAAAAATAAATATTTCAATATTGATATTGACAAAATACAATTCTGAATGTATTTACACATATATAGCATAAGGAAATACTTTAAAAGTATAGATGTTGGATATACCTTACAAGGATGTATAATTCGTTCTTTTTAAACATTTTTGGTGATGTTGCTTTTCAAGTTAGAATATTTTGTCCTGAGTGCACATCAGTCAATGAAGTTATATTCTGTGTAAATATCAACTGATGGCTTTTTTCCACCTTTATTATACCACCTCCAGACCTCTCTCCTGTTACAGATTTACTTTTTTACCCTCTTCATTGCCCATATTCATTGCTTTATGCCTCATTATAATTACTTTTCAAGATCATCTTATATACATTGTTCTCTTTACACTTTTATAATAAATATGTGTTTTAAATTCAGTTACTGTTACTTCCATCCGGGTTTGGAAATTTTGAATTTTGTGGTCTGTTTTTTCTTGAAATATGTTTTCAAAGGAAAATGATGATCACTGAAAGAGATAAGTTAAATATGGTTCTTTAATGTGTGTATTAACATGACATTTCCCCCTGTGTTCTTAAACTAGAAAACATGAAAGATATATCACTCTCAAGGAATATGTATGATGAATATCATTTTTAAATTACCATATGCTATTCTTCTGGACAAAATATTTGTGGGTGGGGAGTAGTCACCCTTCTGGTCTTTAAAGAGTAAAACAAAGTAGAACTAGTAGAAGAAACCATAGAACATTTATTTTCTACATACATTAACTATGCCTAATTGGTGAAAATTTAGGCTTATGAAAATTTAAGAATTTTTATCTCAATAGTACCAATGCTAATGTGAAGCTATGATAGTTGGACAGGTGATTTTTTTTTAAACCTATCTTATTTGCTTTACCTTATAGATGAAAAGAAAATTGGACCATGGTTCTGAGGTCCGCTCTTTTTCTTTGGGAAAGAAACCATGCAAAGTCTCAGAATATACAAGGTAATATTAACCATAATTGATTTTCTCATGATTCTTATGTTTCTTTAAAGAGTTGATGATTCCAAAAGCATTTCTTCCAGTTTATTCTCATAGAATTATAATGTTACTGGTACTGGTTGACTCTGTAACACATTTTGAGATCACTAAACATTGAGAAATACTTAGTCTTAAATAAGAAGAATGACTACCACTGTAGCTTATATTTTCTTACTAATACTTTGAAATAAGACACAAGCAGAAGTTCTCTTATAAGCAAAAATTTTAAATCACAGTTTTTAAGGAATTCTAAAAAGTAAGTTCTAAAATATGAATATGAGCAAATATATCTTGTTACTATAGCAACAGCTGCTCTAGGGTAGATATTTATATATGCAAAATTGAAGATAACATTTATTAGCAGTGAAATAAACCTCACAGTTATTAACTAAATCTTCCTGTGGTAGAAACCCCTTTTATTTGCTTGGTAGATCTTATGTTTTTAACACATACATATCCACACCAGTAAATTAGTTTCCATAACAACAAAATACAATTTTAGTCTTGTTTCGTGCACCATTCCATCATTTTTTGGATTTTGCATCAGTATAAAACTTTTCCCACTCTCACGCTAATTAGGCTAACTTAAGCACAGTATCTATTACCCAGCCAATTAAAAATGGCTTTGGATGTCATTTGGAATGTGGTATTTTAAGATTTAAATGACAAAAGTATCTTCAGAGCTTTTTTAGTCTTTTCTTCATAATTGTCACTTCTTCAAATCACTGATAGAAAGTTTGCTATAGAAGCCCTAAGAACTTCATGATGGTTAACATTTCTTCTTTTTTCCTTAAATATTTTGATTTAGAGTTATATTTATTATATAAGATGCATTAAATTTAACATTGCTCAGACATAAGTTTCTGTGATGGAGCAGTGCTAGAGATTGCATCTCCTTTTTTTTTTTAAAGAAAGAATTTATATTTCGATGTCATTAAGTTGTGGCAAATACTTTTTTAAAATGCTCTCCTATGAAATTTAGAAATCATAAAATTAAATAGTTTTATATGCAAAAAATGCAGAGATCATATAGAGGTGAGAAATAAAACTGTCTCTTAGTTATTTAAGAAATGCTTTCTGTGTGGGTTCCCATGTTAATTGTTCCCCCCTTAGTTACCCTTTGCCTGTCAATTTCACCGTGTTTGGCACTTCCACCAGAGGGTGTGGGGTGATAGAGAGACACATGAAACTCTTCACTTCATTTTTGCTTTTTCCATCTAGTCTTGATCAACTATTTCTTAGATGAGAACATTGAATTTAATGTTAAAAATGTACTATTTTTAATGTATAGATTCTAGTGAACCATGTCATTTTGGTCTTCTATTAATATGGCTGATACCAGGATACGGATATTAAATTGTTCAGTTGTGTTTAAGGCAGCTTGTAAGCAAATGCTGAATTTTTACTACAGAACACATTTTATGAAAATTTGTCTTTAGTTGCTCACTTTTTATATTGAGAAAGTACCTAAAAATGTGCAAATCTTTTAACATATAAATTAGTAAAGCAAACCAAACCACATACTGATTTCCATGTCTTTTTTGAGACTTTGTCAGTATATATTTAATGTTTTTTTTTAACTTTTTTGACAGATTTTCTAATAATAAGAATGTAACTATGATTTTCTATCTTCCTTATTAGAAAATTTATGATCATATTCTATTTCATTTTGGAGAAGAAAATAGAGCTTACCTTTGAAATTTGATAGACAGCATGGGTGCCTGGGTGGCTCAGTCGGTTAAGCATCCGACTTCAGCTCAGGTCATGATCTCGCGGTTTGTGAGTTTAAGCCCCACATCGGGCTCTGAGCTGATAGCTCAGAACCTGGAGCCTGCTTCGGATTCTGTGTCTCCTGCTCTCTGCCCCTCCCCTGCTTACGCTCTGTCTCTCTTCAAGTGTCTCTCTCTCAAAATAAACATTGAAAACAAAAAGAAATTTGATAGATGGGAAAATAGATTTCATTGTTGTATGTTAGAGATTTACCTTGGATGTATAATGTTAAAAGGCTTAAAGATGGTAGATATGAAGATTTCTTTATAAAATCTGGTGACTAAGATACATTTTTTAACAAAATAATGAAATACGCTGGATAGAAAAGAATTGAGGGTGTTGTTTCATTAGTAATTTATCAGAGCTTAGATATTCAGCTAATAGGCTATAATTTGTATGTTCTTCAGATATAAAACACTTTATTATCATAGCTCAGTAAACTGAAGATTATTTTACAAATGTAATTATGAGTCTTCCTGAAGTTTTTCATTTCAAATGTCTCCAAAATAGAGATATTCAGTATTTACCTCAATTAAATAATTTAATTATGTATTAAAATTAGAAAGTAAAGTTTAATATATTAATAACTTGGTTATAACTACTTTTTCTGCTACTAGTCATTTTTAAGGGACTTGGACAATTTTAGAGATAGATCATCTAGTCTTAACTCTTTGATTTTACTGGTGGCAGAATTGGAGGTTTATTTTCTTTAATGTCTCAGAGTTTAAATGATTGGATACAAGTGTTCAGATGATCTCATTTTTTTAAATTTTACATATAATTTAGTAGGGTTTCAATACTTACTGTTTTGAATAAATACATGTCTAATAAAGGCTTATTCCTGTCAAATGTTATCTAGACTAAGCCTTACAAATAAAAATAGAAAGTTGGAGAGAAAGAGATAAATATTATAAATAATTTAGAAAACATCTGAGTTGAAACTTAAGGAATAATGTGTGTAGTGAAATGTCTAAAATATATGAGCACACTGCTGCTACATAGGAATTTTTTAAAGCATTAGTAAGTTTCACAACTCTTTTTATAAAGGAAATTTAAACTTCTATTTAATTAAGTCACTGAAGACCAGTCATAACAGAGTAGAACCTATATCTTCTAAGGAAATATTTTAACATTATTTGTATGTGTCAAGAAGTTGCAGTTTTGCCATAGAGATTCTGTCATTTGGTGGCAGTTAGCATTGCTGGGATAATAACAGGTGGCTATGTAGGAGGGAGGAAACCTGCTCTAAGAATAGCAGAATAGATTTTGTATATCCTTGCTCTCTGGAAATAAGCAAATAAAAATAATAATTCTATTGATATTTGAAATATGCCACATCACATGCTTTTTAAAATTAGAGCCAATTATTCTTAATAAATACCTATCTTTGTTTCCACTCTTGTGTTGTTTTTGTAGTACCACTGGGCTTGTACCATGTTCAGCAACACCAACAACTTTTGGAGACCTGAGAGCAGCCAATGGCCAAGGGCAACAACGACGCAGAATTACATCTGTCCAACCACCTACAGGCCTCCAGGAATGGCTGAAAATGTTTCAGGTGACATGTCTAAACACAGTGCTTGAAATGCTTCACTTAATTGCTGCAAAAAGTAAAGGATTATTCAGCCATGAGAAGGACCCTTACACGCTACACCATGGATGAACCTTGAAAACATAATGTTAAGTGAAAGAAGCCAGACACAAAAGGCCACATATTGCATGATTATATTGACATGAAATATCCAGAACAGGCAAATACATAGAGACAGAAGGTAGATTAGTGAGTGCTCTGTGATTGGTGAGGGGATGTTGAGACTAACTGTAATAGGTATGGGATTTCTTTCTGGGGTGATGGAAGTGTTCTGGAATGGATAGCGGTAATGGTTACACAGCAAGACAGCCATTTAAGTGTACATTTTAAATGGTGAATTGGATGTTGTGTGAAGTATATGTCAATAAAAAATGCTCCTGAAAATAAGGGGGCTCATTTTAATTTTTAAGTATATTAATCAAGAGAATCCAGTGCTTATTTTGTATTAGTGTGTATTCTTTTTTTTGTTGTTGTTGCTTTTTGGATAATAAGACCTTTCTTCCTTTTCTCTTTTATGTTGGGGTTTCCGAATGTACTTCTTTTCCAAAATTTATTGCTTAGAAGTTAAACATTTAGGAGTAATGTAGGAACTCTGCTAATTAGTCACTGGTGGTGACTTACCCATCACTGTTACTCTAGTAGCCTCCAAGATTTTGATACAGCTTCTCTTCCTCACCTCCATGCTGGGGAGTGGCCTATTGTGTTCACATGCTGATTACTGTATTTTACTGGCATTTAAATTCTTTGCAAGTTTGTTGGGAAGATTGGCTACAACCAAACCTCTGTTACGAATTTTGTAAATCATGGTAGTGATATTAAATTGATTTATCTCTTCTTCCAGTGAGATAATGCATATATATCAAACATTTAGCAAAATAGTTGACCTAGATTAAACACTTGCTTAATTATCCTTTGTAAATACTAAATAATATAAGTTATGTGAAGTGAAGGTATCTCTTATATTATCCATGACACTAATGTAAAATGAATATATTTCCATACCTCTAGCTGCTTGATTGGTAGTATTTTATAAATGCATACGGGAATAAGAATGAATAAGGGAAAAGAAGATACTTCATTTGATTTTATTTGATATTTCAGATTTTTAAGATGTCCATTATGTAAATCCTTATAATATTAAATTCCTGGGCAAAAACTAAATAAATGTCCCAATCTTTCTCTTCTGTAGCTGGAAAACTCACTTGAATCAGTGTTGTTTTTAAGTGGATTTTAAAAGTTGCTTTCTACCCTTCAGGTGATTTCAGAGAAAAAAAGGTAATCCTTTTTTTCAGTTGGTGACTGAAAGGTTAGAGCAGTGGTTCTTGACAGGGGGCAAGTTTTTGCCTCAGTTGAAGCATTTTTGGTTTTTACAACTGATGGGGTAGAGGGCTGGATGCTGCTGGCCTCTAGTGAGTAGTGACAATGTAAAGCATACCCTCCTATAGCAGTGTTATCAGGCCTAAAATGTCACTGGTGCTGGGACTGAGAATGAACGCTGTAGATCACTCTCATTATAATATTATAAGCCACTACAATCACTAAGCCACTACAATCAAAAAGAAATTTTTTTTCTGTCTTCATAGTCCTTACCTTTCCCCAAGGATTAGTCCCCCCACCCCCTCCTCACAGTTCTTTTACCTTAGGTTCCTGATTTATTTTTTAATTTCAATTAATTTTTTTCTGTATATGCACTCAGAATTTTAACTTTTTTTTTTTTTAACTATAGCCTTTTGATAAGAAATGCATCCCATCAATAATGAGGACTCAGGCATTCATACAGTCATAAGGAAATACTTTGAAGATTTTTATCATCTCTGATTAAGCCAAGGAGATGGGAATATGGGTTTGTGTTGTCATGCTCGCACATGCGCACAGTGAGTGGCACAGCACTTGAGATAATGCTTCATATGAGTAATGAAAAGAATTACTTCATACCATTTTTATAAGAAAGCATCAACATGATTGAAAAATTTACACTGTTCGTAATAGTTTTCTCATCATTGTGGACAACCTGCAAAAGATTTATTTTATATGAAAATCTTTATTTCTTATCAGAAGGAAGTCAAGTGATTTATTTTGTATGTGATATGGGCCTATTTTTTCCAGTGTTTTAGAATACCAAAATATTCTTTGCTAGACATTTAGACTTTTCCCAATTTTAAGAGAACTCTCTCAAATATTGATTTATAGAAGGGGGTATTTGTCCTTTATTTTTCAGTGAGGATGTTTTAGGGAGTTCTTTGTATGTTTACTTGTTCAGCTCACTCATGCTTTTCTTAATGAAATATCTATGTATTACATACTGTATGTCACCAAGTCTGAGATACCATAGGTTATTAGATGCATCCCATCTTCAGAAATGTTATTTGTTAAAAAAAAAAAAGTTAGTATTAATGGGATTCAATAAACTAAAGAATATTAGACTAGCTTTTGTTCTATAAAAAAGCCCATTTGATTGCTTTTCATATGAGAAGTAGATGTAGTGAAGAAAACTTGTTCTTAGCAAATCGGAATAACAGGTAGAATTATCCCTCCAGGTATAGTATTTTTTTTTTTCAGATAAATATTCTGCAGCAAAGAAATCTTCTAGCAACAAAAAGTCAACTAAACAGGTGTATCGGGACCTTAATCTTTTGAGTACCGTATCTGTCTCTTACACACCCAGGACCTCGTTTATTTTCACGGACTGCCCTTTATTTTCAGGGCTGGTGCCAAAGTAACTAGAGATGAATCACTTGCCTACAAGCTTACAAGGCTTTCATGGCTAACTTGTAGAGAGATATAATTTCATAGTAAAGTAGGGGAGTCACGAGTTGACCCGTGTGCTGTAGTGAAGGGATAATTAGACTGGCATGATTTCTACAGATGTGCTGTGGGGGTATTTAATGATGACTTTTCCATTGCATAACAAGCAAAATGGGAGAGCTTGTCCCCTTACTGTTCTGCTATTGCTCCTAAGGCAGTGATACAGCATTGTTCTGGTCCAGCTCCATCTATTCTGACAAAGTACTCTGTACTCAATTTATAAATTGAATGAGAACAAATGATATACCATTTTGGATAAAGGGAAATTGAAACAAAATGCCATTGCAAAATTGAAGTGGAAATTCAAAACAAAACAAAAAAACAGAAATTTTGTGCTGTGTAAATTTTTAGTAGCCGTTGGTTCTGTTTTTTTTGCAACCAGATTGATGGTTCAGATTATTAATTTGGGGGCAGAGGATTGGTCATTTTGTTTGTGCGTTGTGGTGTTAATGTATGGGGTTTTTTTACTTGAAAATTTTAGAGCAAGTAAAGGCAACAATAACATTAATATTATCTTATGTTGAAATTTATATCTAGAGGTATCCTGGTATAGTGAGAAGCACATATGACTTAGAATAAAAAGATCTTAGTACAAATTTTGGCTTTGCCTCTTAATACTAGGTAATTTTGTTGGTATTATGTAACCATAACCACTCTTGCCTATTTTCATCCTCTGTAAAATAGATATAACACTGAAAAGTTGTCAAACAGGAGACAACATGTAAATGTGCTTAAAGCTATATGTGGAAATATAGTGGAGACTCAATGTTCGTTTCCTCTCTTGGTCAAGAAATAGCCTTTGTGAGCCTTAGTTTTCTCAGGTCTAAAAAGAGGCTATTAAAAACACCTTCATACAAATGTTATTAGCATTACTTTAATCAAAACAAATTTGCATTGTATTAAAATTGTGAATGTACTTTGAAAATACTTATACTCAAAATATTTTTTAAATGATAAAGTAGAAAATACTTATGTGTTTTGAAATTAAAAGTGGAGTATAAATACTCTCTTGAAGGATTTAATTAAGTTCCATGGTAACACTTAGACATTGTATATGTTCTCTTTTTTTTTAGCTCTTTTTTATTTGCTAGTCAACAAAATACTAAAACAGAATAATGCCAGAAGAAAATGAATTCAGTGTTACTTTGCAATTGTATTTAAGGCAGTATGATTAAGAAACCTTGTGTGAAGAAGAGTTTAAGAAAGTCGTTGAGAAATCAGTTCTTTACCACATGAAATTCAGGCATGGTACTGCCAAAAAGTCACAAAATATATATATCTGAATGGGATATAGAGATCATCCAGACTAGTAACCACTACAGTGTGTGAGTCTCTTGCATCAATACTGGATGAGTTGTTTATTTAAAACATAAAATGTCCTCAGCCCCACCTTGACTCCTGAATCAGACTCTTTGATGGTGAGTTGTAGGACTCCGATTCTTACACTCCTCAACCAGCATTTGGGAAACACTGGTCTGGACCAAACCCCTCATTATACAGGTGGGGTCTCTGAGATTAATTAAGGGACTTTCATATGGTTCCATGGTGAGTTTACTGGTGAAACCCAAGCCCCTAATTACAGTTCAGTGCTCTTTATATTCTTCTCTACTACCTTCATTCTCTAATTATCTGAAATAAAATACCATTTTCATGGGGAATTTTCAAGTTTGCATTTGCAATTTTGCCCACAAATTAAGTTTTGTTTCTCTTGATCCTCTCCAAATTTGGAATATTTTTTCTATTCCCTTAAATATGTTCTTACATAACTTTACCGTGAAAGACCAAAGGAAGATGCTTTCATCCAAGACAACTGTTTATTTGAACAGAAATTAAATAATTATCAGAATTATCCAGCATTTTTGCAGATGAAGAAACTAAGGCCTGCAGAGGTTAAACTGTAATCTAATTAGTGGCAATATGTCTTCTAAAAGTTGAGTTTCCTGATCTGCAATTTAGTGCTCTTTCCACTATTCCTCATTGAAGGAATGATGTTTGTTGTTATTTTGTTTTAATATAGTCATTAACTGCTGGTTTTTCAAGTTAATACATACTTCCCTTGCTGGTAAATCATGTATACAAAAATTTAGAATCAGTCTTGGAACCAAACTAAACAAGTAAGTCCTAGTAATACTGTCAAATATAAATACCAGAAACACTCTCTGGAGAGAATTTTGAGATAGTGTTGGTGCAGTATTTCCTGACTCTTTGGGTATTCATTTATTTATTCAACAAATAATTACTGAACACCTTTTTGGTGCTAGGTTCTACTTTGGATTTGGAATACAATAGTGAACAAAACAAACCAAAAATCCTTTTCCACAGAACTTACATTATAGGAGAGGGATGGAAGAGGCTGGAGGGTAGGGGGACACGTTTGAACTGGTTTGCAATTTTAAAAGGGTTGCCCGGAGTTGGTCTCAGAAAGAAGTAGGGAAGAAGCCATGTGGTTATCAAAGGCAAGAATGTTCCAGGAACAACAAGTGAAAAGGCTCTGAAGCAGAGCATGTTTGGTTTGTCTATGGCTAAAGTAAGTAAGCCAGAGGGAAAAGGGTAGGGAATAGTATCTTGTAGGCCAACCCAGACTGGTTTTTACTTTGAATTTTTTTTTGAAAAATATTTTTAATATTTATTTTTGAGAGAGACAGAGCATGAGTGGGGGAGGAGTAGAGAGAGAGTAGAGAGAGAGGGAGACACAGAATCCAAAGCAGGCTCCAGGCTGTGAGCCCAGAGCCCAAAGTGGGGCTCAAACTCATGAGCCAACTACTTTGTGGAGAATAGAACAAGGAGGGCAAAGGTGGAAAGCTGAGAGACTGGGTAAGAGGTTATAGTAATAATCTCACCTGGGTAAGAGGTGAGAGATAATAGTAGCTAGACCAGTGTGGTTAATGGTCAGATTCTGGATATATTTTGAAATTTAAGGCCTTAAAATTCATTGATGAATCAGAACCATCTGACAGTGGTGAGAATGGGAGAGTTGGGGATGACTCCAGAGTTTTTGGCCTGAGCAACTAATAGAACAGAGTTATATTTTACTGGAATAAGGAAGATTGTGGACATGCAGATTTGAAGAGAAAGATCATGGATATGTTAACCGTGTATTACCTCTCTAAGAACACATGTTGAGTAGGCAATTTTATATACCGATCTGGAAAAAAATCCAGGCTAGAGAGAGGAAAGCTTTCTATATGGTTTATACCTTTATTGAAACCATCTAAGGAAAGTGATTTTACGTATTTAGACTATTGAATATATGCGGTAGGTGGAAACAGTCTCATTTACTACCTAGCTTGCAGCCTGTGTTGCTAATCCTTGTCAGTGGTATACTTTTAAATAAAATGTCACAAAGTAACATCTGTTGAATATATGTATAATTTAAATCCAGATATACATTTAATTTTATTTGACTTATTAAATCAAATATTGTTTAAAACAAAAACATTGTTTAAAGTCTTAGAAACATTTTGCTATGCAGGCATAATTTTTGTCATGGACTTTCCTTAAATATATAGAAATTTCTGACATAGCTTTTATTATTTACTTAAAATCTGAACTAGTTATTTATTTTTTTGTTCTGGCTTTTCTCATTCTATACCCCATTCCCTAAAATCCTTGATAAAAGATACTTTCTGTTAGCAGTTATATATCATATGTTAATAATGTTTTTCTATCCTTTTTTAAGAAAACTGTAATAATGCATTAACTGAAAAAAGACAACATTAAACAAGTATATTACCTTAAAGTAGAAATATTCATAGTAGCTAATGCCATTAATCTATGTAAAGTATATGGCATAGTAATATGTTGAAATATTTGTCACCCTGTTCCTGGAGAAGATTACATAGGATATCTTTATTTTTATATCAAAATTTAACCATAAACACTTCTAAAAAGTGTTTCTAAGGCAAACATTCACATATGCAAATGTGTTTAAAAAGTTTACATTAAAACTATTGTGCTATCAAGTTACTTAAAGCCGCATTTTAATCAAGCCAACATAAGTTATCCATCACCCAAATTGGACATGTCCTCATACTGTGTCCATGAATGGAGAGGAACAACGTATTTATGAAAACCCACCTTCAATTCTATGAGGAATATAAATCAATAAATTAGAGTTTATAGTATTGATACTAAGTGATTAGAGATGAGTGGAGATGATCAGTGTTAAGTTTTGAACTAGAATTTGAAGGTGTGTGAGAAAAACTGAACAAAATAATCGAACTTCAAAGTAACTGCTTTTCATTGGTCGTGAGTATGCAAATACATATATTTAAGTATTTTTTTATTTCTATGCATAAATCCTCACCCTAATGAAAAAGGATACAAGGTGGGTACTCAAGGAGAGCCTTCTAGGTATGCGTATGTATATATAGAAGTAAAGGAAAACGATACTACATAGAGTCTATGTTTCCTCATATTTGGTAGTAAAATAGGAATGTTTCCCAGAGTTTTTATGATTAAGTAAGATAATGATTGTGATAAGTACTATGGGAATACTACTGAAATGTTTGATGCTATTAACATAATCTACACTTTATGATAGGAATTTCAGCCTCAATGAAATTTATTATAGATTCTAAAGGGGTAAAAAATGTTTAAAGTACAGTGCTTTAAAAAGTACTGTAAATAAGGCTTCCTATGTCCTCAATATATCTCAATTTTCAATTATTATCTATTTCACATATTACAAAATCCAGGTTTCTAGTTTGAGCAGAAATGGAATGTCAAATTGGATATGCTAATTCACAAAGGTACTTAAATCAGCCTGGTCAAGGATGTTCTTTCATTTAAGTATCACAGGGTTATTTACATGGGTTTTTTTTTTCTTTTTTTTTTTTTTTTTTATGTTTTACTTATTTCTGAGAGAGAGCATGAGCAGGGGAGGGTCAGAGAGAGAGAGATACAGAATCTGAAACAGGCTTCAGGCTCTAAGCTAGCTGTCAGCACAGAGCCTGATGCAGGGCTCGAACCCACAAACCGTGAGATCATGACTTGAGCTGAAGTCGAACACTTAACCAACTGAGCCACCCAGGCACCCTGGGTTATTTACATGTTTTACATGATTGTTTTGAGGGGAAATTCTAACACTTTAAATTATTCACATGGTTTTTTTAAGGTTTCCTTTTAAGAATCATGGCATTTCTGTGCAGATGTTCCTCACTGGCAAAAAAAAAAAATTTAATAATCCCCTAGTATTAAGTAGTTCCTATTTTTAAAGTATAATGATGTGTTTTTGTTTTTCCATAATGTAGTACTTTGTTTCTGACCCTTTTGTTCACATTCTAATTGTACTAATGAGTCAGTTACTGTTCTATATTTTTGCATTTTTTTATCTGAAATTATTTTCATGTAATAAATCAAAGCTCTTTTGTGGAAGACACTTGTCAGATGTGCAGTATATCCAGCTATTAATTTTTCTCTAAATGATGTTGCCAGTCTTCTCTCAGATGGGTTCCTTATTAACACTATCAAATTTTATGGTGCCCACTAGAAAGAATATAGAGAAAATACCCTGATTACTTAGTAGCCCAAGTTGATGTTTCCAAATAAAACTCGGATTTCTCAATCAGTATCTTGATGGTAGATGAACATAGAACATTTATAATAATATAGTGCAAAAATATTTGTCAAAATCATGACTTTTCCTTAAGCTTTTATAAAATAAAGGTAGCTAGTAAATTTGATGAGAATAATTGATTATCACTTCAGTGACTCCTGGAGAAACTTTCACTCTAAGTAGCCACTTTTTATGTTATGTGTAAATGTAGATTTTCCTTTATGAGTATCTAATTTGAGACATCTATTAAAATAATAAAAATTTCTACTTCCTTTTTGATAGAGCTGGAGTGGACCAGAGAAATTGCTTGCTTTAGATGAACTGATTGATAGTTGTGAACCAACCCAAGTAAAACATATGATGCAAGTGATAGAACCCCAGTTTCAACGAGACTTCATTTCCTTGCTCCCTAAAGAGGTAAGGATTGTCAGTTATATTCTTCTGGATGCTATTTGAAAATATAACTCCGTAGCGACCACCTTTAAACATGGTCATGCTAATTATGGTAATCAGTATTGTAGGTTTAACACTCTTAATTAGTGTTAAAGAGAGCTGTAAATGGTAAGCTGCCATGATGTAATAATATCATTTTCAGATTCAAGTATGTTTATGGACTAAGTGACTTCTTTCCACTACTGCAGTAAGTCATATGAGAGTAAGCTATTGAGTTTCATTAATTTGATTACTCCTTTATCACATTTTTTTACAGTTATTTGAAGCCCAACCTTTAGTTGTCTTGGTATATTTATTATATATAGTAGTAATTTTTTTTAGAAATTCTGATTTTATTAAGATAGCATTTTTTTCTTATTTTGTGTTTTTTATCCAAACTCCCTCTGAGACTAATAGTCTTATGATTCAATTGAATTATAGTTCTCTGTTAATTCATGTTGTGTAATTGTTTTAAAGTATGTGGAATTTCACATGTATATCTCTTTGTATTAATCATCCGTCTTGCCCCCATCTCTGTCTCTCTCTCTTTCTCTCATACACGCACACACACGCAGTCACAGATGTCCTGCATCGATTATATCCTTATAATACTTCTTTTGGAATTACTTATGCCTAGTTTTTATATCTTTATGTGAACTGACACTATTTTTTATCATAGATTGATTATGATCACATGGGCATTCTTGACTGCATAAATGAAGCATAGCTTAGATGTAGTTCTTTTATTGATGTTATAGGCTTCACAGTTTCATTTCTGTCAGCAAACAAATAATATGACATTAAATAATCAGTGTCACCATGGTTTATATTTTCACAAATTGTTTATGTGCCACTAATTATATGTCAGCTAAGAAAACAATATATAAAACACTAATATACTATTGCAAATGATCTTGAAACCTCAAATATGAAGAGAAAAGGAGTCAATTTTTTTGGATAACCATTCTAAATATCCTAAAGGCATTAAACATAGTCTCAGTAATAATTTCACATTGGATATGAATAAAACAGTTTTATCATATTTAATGTATGAAAGTAAGCATTACTCTAGATGAAAGCAAAGTAGAAATAATATCTTTTTCCTGAAATGTTTCTTCTTTGGAATAATTTTTTAATGGCAAAAAAAAAAAAAAATAGCAATAGCATTGTCCCAGAAAAAATTTTTTATTCTTGCTGGCTCATTCTAAAGCTGAACCTTTGAATAGAATTGGCTTATGAAATGACATAAGCTCTCTTTGCTTCCAGAAGGACATTCATAATAGGTAGCTTTTTTTTGTTTTGTATTTGACTGAAAGTAAAAGTTAGTCACCTCTCATATATTCTTCCTAGTTTCCCTAGATATCCTCCTTATTTTAAGGTAGTATTTTTGTTAAAATATAGACTTTTTCTTAGTCTAGTTTGTCCTCTTATCTCTAAGAATGGTGAGTGTTTTGTTTTGCTTTATTTGTGTTTCCATAATAACTTTTGAACACAAAAAATATGATTTAAAATCAGAAGAATCTGAAAATATTTTTTTTTTTAAAATATTTTTAAGAGTCTAAGAATTAAGCACAAATTATCGATAAACAGTGTAAATGCAATAAAGATTTTCTTGGATTAAGTGTTGGCTACAGAAGAGAACAAGAGTGAGCTCTGGCTTAGCATATCTTCTGTTTTCTCTCTTTTTGAACTACTAGGTAACATTTTGTGTTTTGAAAAAATGCTTTATTTTATATTTGGAGAAAGAATGGTATAGATCTAAGTCCTTAAGGAAACTGTTATCTTAATTGGAGACTAAGTGTTGTTATTATTTAAAACAACATTGCTTTCATGTCAGAAAATGGACTTGTAATAATTTTCTTATAATTCCTTTCAATAGATCTCAAAGCTTTTTACCAATACTTACTTTTTAATCTCAGAAACCTTGATAAAAATCTCACTAGTCTCATGTGAGAGGCTTGTGATATACTGCATTATCCTTATTTTTGTAAGTAAATGCCAAGAAAAGCATAGTGATGCATTAGATGACCTAAATTCTTAAATATTTTTAAAGTTTATTATTTAATTTGAGAGAGAGCAAGCAAGCAGATAAGGGGTAGAGAGAGGGAAGGGGAGAGAGAGAATCCCATCTGCACTGTCAGCGGCTCAAACCCACAAACCATGAGATCATGGTAGCCAAAATCAAGAGTCAGATCCTTAACCAACTGAGCCACTCAGGTGCCCCCCAAATCTGAAGTCTTAAGATAGGATTAGCCAACATTTTCTTCATTCTTTTTTTATCCCTCCCCCCCTTTTTCACTAGTTCAATCCATGGAAATACAACAGTTTTCCAGGAAAGTATTAGCTACCTCTCATGTATAACATGGTGGTCTCTTATATCTAAGTAAATGCCAGGTTAAAGAGAAAAACAAAAAATAACAACTCTCATTGAAATGACAAGTTTGGCCAAGGAAAAAGTAATTATCTGAAATAGTTTCCAATTTAAGAGCTTCTGTCTATTGAGTCCTTAGGAGGAATAACTGAATCTAGATTTTACCTTTAAGACAAATGAATAGAGGAACACCTGAGTGGCTCAGTCAGTTAAGTGCCCAAGTCTTTAATTTTTGCTCAGGTTATTATCTCACGGTTTGTTAAGTTCAAGCCCCCATGTTGGGCTCTACACTGACAGTGTGGAGTCTGCTTGGGATTCTTTCTCTCTAACCTCCCCCCCCACACACCCCCTCTCAAAATAAATAAGCATTAAAAAAAAAAAAAAAAGACAAATGAATAGAAAATTGCATTAGCCAGACCATTTTACTTGGCCACAACAAACCTATACTCCCCTGCTATGGTATAATAGAGATGTCATTCAGGACAATGCCCACTTTCTGCCCCCTATAAGGACCCCCACATGACTAAACTTTGCTTCCTTCATGCAACTGGTATACTTCCACCATAATACACACTAAGAATTGTTTAACTAATTGTTGTTCCTTTTTCGCCTGGCAGTTTAATTAAAAAACCATGTAAGATATTGTTGCTGTGTATTTGTGTTCTACTTTTCTGTGGTTTAAACTTAGCTTCTTTTATGATTTATGTTTTTACTGGTTCAGATTTTTTTTCTATTTTTATTTTGCTATGTGTACTTTCTGCAACACTTAGATGTTTTTAATAGAACTGACTAGATTTAAATAGAATGAGTTGAAATTCACAGTTGAGTTAAGGTCTTTGTTATTTTAAAGAAAAAAATGTACCGATTACCTGTGAAGTTAGCACTTCTATTCTCTTTAGCACCTAAGTGTTTCTTTACTCTTTAATTCATTTCTCTTTAATGTATGCAGACATTGGACTTGGTGATCTCATAATCACCAGTAATGAAGGAAATTATAGATGATTTGAGATGTACCTTTGAAATCTAAGGTGCTCTGGATTTATTTTCTAGCCTTTAAGATCCATTGACTGTTTCTGTAAATTACCTGATTTCTACTTCAGCTAGATAACTAAAACAACAGACTTTTACAGATGACTATTTTAAATATGTTGGACATTAAATAGCATCTCTTTTCCACAAATATAACTTTGTGCCTGATAATTTCTATGTTAAATATAAATTTCACATAGAAGAAGAGTAGGGTGTTATCACATTACTGTTACACTGGCACTAAACAACTTGCTCAGGCTTAATTTCAAAATTAAATGACTTATAGAGTATCCATTAAAAAAGTATAATGTTGATATCTGTATCTATGTTTGTGTATTTGTATATGTGTATGTATGTATATGTATATATGTAGATTGTTGGATATAATTATGCCTTTTTATTTAAAATTACTCAGTTTCTAAATATGGTACTAAAATGGGCTTCTCTGATACACCAAAAATAATTATTCTACAAAAAGGTTTTCTCTGTCATTTATCAGTAATAGTATTCAATTGAATACTGACTGGCTGGAATACTTTCTATATGAAATGTTCTCAATAAATATGTGATTAATGATGAGCTCTCTCTATATAATGTTCTTGGGTAAGCATAATTAATATCATGTAACTACTGTTTAGCATCAGAAAATAATTCAAATTGTGTTTTTACTCCCTATATGGCCTTTGGCCCTTTAAATGATAGTTTGTTTTAATTCTTGTAATTTAATTTCTGTGAACACTAAACTTTATTGCTTTGTTTAGATCATTTTGGTTCTAATATCATAATTTAAATTTTTATGTGATTCATGAGGCTAATTGGATAAGTATACTCAGAAGTTACCATTCCCCTTTCTTTTTTCTTTCGTCTCCCCTTATTTTCTTGAATTGACTATACATGTTTTTAAAAATTGATGGTTTGTAACTCTTGGAAACAAAATTTTAAAATCAGTGATAATACCAGAGAGCTAGTTCAAATAGACAAATATATCTGGCCCATCAAGAAAATCCCCACAAGCAATGTAAAGTAATTAGAACTTAATTACTTTATATGTCTGTGGAGCAGTTTAGTAATTGTGCCCTCTTGTCACTTACATTGAAGTGTTCAAATGTTTGAAAGTTCATCATTATGATAATAAACACTTTGATGTGATAAAGAACCATTAATCATATCAATCAGAAGTGATCTGAAGCCATACCACACAGAATATCTAGAAATCTCATTTCATTTTTTTTTTTTAACGTTCATTTATTTTTTAGAGAGAGGGAGAGAAATTTCGAGCAGAGCAGGGGCAGGAAGTGGGGAGGACAGAAGATCTGAAGTGGGCTCTGTGCTGACAGCTTCAGGGCTGACAGCAGTGAGCCCGATGTGGGGCTCGAACTCACATATCACAGGATCATGACCTGAGCTGAAGTTGAATGCTGAACAGACTCAGCCACTGAGTATACCTGGAAATCTCATTCCTTAATTTAAGTCATATCTTCAGTGAATTTACATGGTAATAGGGAGAGAAAAGTACAAAATCTAAATGACTAATGAAGTATACATGTATACATATGTACATAAATGGTATAATTATTGAGTTGAGGCTCACAGAGTAAAGGTGAGAGCAGAGAAGCTTAGGTATTCTTTGCAGAGGTGAAATTCATAAAAACCAATAGAATGAGTTTTTTAAGCCTGGTATATATTTAAGATTGACTATTAAAAAGTCAATTTCAAAAGTTAGAATGCAGAAATTTATTACATTTATCTAAAAGTGCTTCATTCTATAGAAAATAATTAACTTACTATTTTTGTATATGTATTTTTAAATATGGGTATACTATGCTTTTGCTTCTCATAGCTGGCACTTTATGTGCTTTCATTCCTGGAACCCAAAGACCTGCTACAAGCGGCTCAGACTTGTCGCTACTGGAGAATTTTGGCTGAAGACAACCTTCTCTGGAGAGAGAAATGCAAGGAAGAGGGTAAGGTTCAAAATCACAAAGGGAAGATCTTAGACTTTGAAAAAGCAAAGTGATTCTGAAAACAAATAGCAAAAACTAAAAATTAGAGGTTTTATGTATGCACATGTAATTGAAAAAAAGAACTTTGGCTGCCTATCAAAGAACGAAGAATTAGTCTTCATTTACATTCACCTACTTGTATACAGTCCACAGGTTATTCCACACGTTCAAATGAGTCAGATCTTGCAGCTAACCCCTTTACTATGAACAATAGTAACTAATAGCAAATAGATCGGATTTGCTTCCCAGTCTGAAAAGGTCAAGATGAGGATGATTTAAAGGAAACCTAAAAACAAAACAAAACACAGACCCATAGATACAGAGAGCAGATTGGTAGTTTCCAGAAGGGAGGAGAGTTGGGGAGGGGGGCAAGATAGGTAGGGGATTAAGAACTATAAACTTCCAGTTATAAAAGAAGTAAGCTATGGGGATGTAATGTAAGCATGGGCAATAGAGCCAATAATATTGTAGTAACTTTGTAAGTTCACAGAGGATAACTAGATTTATTGTTGTGACCATTTTGCAGTGTATATAAATATCAAATCACTATGCTGTACACCTGATGCTAATATTGTATGTCACTTACACCTCAGTTTAAAAGAAGGACAAACCAAAGACCTAATTTTGAATGTTTGCTTAAAATAACATAGAGATTAATTTCTACCAATAGTTTCATGGATGAGAAAGGTATCCTTCTCTCTAATACTTATAATTAAAGATAAATTTATAATTGCGACTGTCCTTAGGAGAGAAACTCACTGGAATGCACACTAATAAATGGCTACTCAGTCATATAAATAAATGAATGAAGGAAGGAAGGAAGGAAACCCCAAAATTATATTAACAAGATACAAATATTCCATATTCTGTTCATTTCTTTCACAAATACTTACTGAACACCTCCTATGAGCTAGAGATTCTTAAATGTTGGGGATATAGTACTGAACTCCCATTTTCTTCCCATCATGGAACTTATATTCTTGAAAACTGTAAAAAACAAAGCAAAAAGAACAAAGAAGAATGAAAATAAGTCTCCTTTCTTAGTAGAGTAGAAGGTATAATCTATATTAAATAAAAAGACTTTTTTTTTCAGCAGGCATCTAGAAAAATTATATTTTTGAAAAAATGTAAAAATATGATTTGCCTCTGATAAACAAAAATTTTTAGAAGAATCCTAGAGCATGAGATAGATACTCTACAGGTTATCTTCCCCTTCATGTGGATCACAGTTGATGGGGAGGACTGGTTAGTAAAGCTGGAAGGTAAAGATCCAGGATACTTGGTTTCTAATCCTGCTTCTGCACTGTCTGTAGCTTGGACTAATTAGTGAAACCTTTTCTTCTCAAGTGTCTGTATACATAAAGTGGGATTAATCATCCCTGCCTTACCTTCTCTCATAGAATCATTATTTAATGACTTTTTAAAAAACTGTGGTAACATATACATACCTAAGGTAGAATTTATCATTCTAGCCATTTTTAAAATTCCAGTTCAGTGGCATTAGATACGTTCATGTTGTTGTACAATTCATCTTTAGAACTATTTCATCTTTCCCAGCTGAAAGTTGATACCCATTTAACAGTAACTCCCTGTTCCTCCTCCCTGCAACGCCTGGCAACCACCATTCTGTTTTCGGACTCTATGAGTTTGACTACTCTATGTGCCTCATACAAGTGGAATCATGCAGTATTTGTCTTTTTGTGACTGGCTTATTTCATTTTGCATACTGTCTTCAAGGTTTATCTGTGTGGTAGCATGTGCCAGAATTCCCTTCTTTTTTGAGTCTGAGTAAATATTCCATTGTATATATCTCACATTTTGTTTCTTCATCCATCCATTGATGGACACTTGGGGATGCTTCCACCTTTCAGCTATTTTGAATAATGCGTCTATGAACGTGGGTGTACAAGTATCTGTGCAAGCTTCTGCTTTCAATTCTTTTGGGTGTATATCCAGAATTGGAATTGCTGGATTATGTGGTAATTCTGTGTTTAATTTTTTTTTGATGAAGCACCATCCTCTTTTCCATAGCATCTATATACCATTTTATATTCTCACAAGCATTGCATAAGGGCTCACATTTCTGCATATTTTCACCAACATTCATAGAATTAGTTAAAGAAATGAAAAGTCAATATGAAAACATGCCACAGAGAATGCAAACTTTACATTATTGTTTTATAATACAGTATTAGAAATTGGACAGTGTCCTGCATTTCTGTGGTTTTATGAAATATAAAATGTGTAATTTTTATTATTGGTGATGGCAGTTATGCTCTTTATCTCTTTAAAACTTTAGGTATTGATGAACCATTGCACATCAAGAGAAGAAAAATAATAAAACCAGGTTTCATACATAGTCCGTGGAAAAGTGCATATATCAGGCAGCACAGAATTGATACTAACTGGAGGCGAGGAGAACTCAAATCTCCTAAGGTAACTGAACTCTTGCACAGTATAACAGAAAGCACTAGTCAGTTTTGGTACCTAATGCAGTCTTCTTGGCCAGCAGTATAACTTAACTCCTATCTCCTGAAGAAAGAAAACAAGATATTTTAAAATAACTGAAAATGTAACTGACAGTATTGCCCTATTGCTAATTTCTCCAGTCTGACAACTAATTGTATTTGAATAGAAGATGAGTTGAATTGCCTATCATTCTATCTTAAATAAGTGAAAATTTCTGAGTATCCTGTTGAATTTTGTGTCATATGCCTAAGACTTTGCTTGCTCTCTGAACATGTAGTTAGAAAGTGATTTTTTGAGCAGTGCCCATGTTTTGTGTTTTTAGTGGCTTTTCTTAGTTTTATTTCTATAAGCTTAAGTGTAATACTGATTTTTTGTCGTATCATAAGTATATAAAGAATGACAAAAATGCTTATGTTATACAATTGGAAAAAAGCAATTGGAGATACTGTTACATTAATATGTATACATTATAACAGGCTTCTTTTTTTGTTTTAATTTGAAAAAGTTGATAATTATTGTTACTTTTGTCTTTCTAGTTTGTAGGTACTTTTGTTTTTGTGTGAAAATTGTAAAACATAGATGCATTTTTTTCTGGTTTGAATAGATAAATAGGTGATTATAAGATACATTTGTGTTTCAACCATCATTATGAGCTTTTGACTCATAAAAGTCTTGACTCACTCAATTTTAATAGTTGATATCTCAGGTATAAATCATAGAATATAGAAAAATAAAATGTTTAATACTTGATTCATCATTCAGGAAGAATGGATGCTACTTTATATAAATTATGTTTTTAAAAATAGACTATAGATTGCTGCTCCTAATTATGGCTTTATTTTTCTTTTCACCAGTATTTTTAAAAATGTAATTTAATAATATATTTCTAATCTGCACATCTATCTTGTAGGTTCTGAAAGGACATGATGATCATGTGATCACATGCTTGCAGTTTTGTGGTAACCGAATAGTTAGTGGTTCTGATGACAACACTTTAAAAGTTTGGTCAGCGGTCACAGGCAAAGTAAGCTTACTTCTTTCTACACTTCACATTTTGTTTATGTCTTTGCAGGGACCAACCAGGAAAACAAGAATTCCCTTGTTTTAATAACAAATAACAGAGCTTATTTTAATAACAAATATCAGAGCTTCTAATTTATTTAATTTTTCCTGTGGCACAAAGATCATGTTTCTCAGGATAGGATGTCCTTAGTTTCTTCTTGTAAATAGTTTGTCTATCTTTGTGACTTAGCTATTGTACAGTTTTTACAGATGTGCTTTATCCTTTTCTTGGTTAATTTTTCCCACCTTTATTAGCCATCTCAGTTATATTGTCTTTTTTAAACTTTTTAAAAACTATTATTGAGGGATATGTGTTTTTTCTGCTTTGTTTAATGATGTTAATTTAGATTTATCTCAAGCCCTGTGAGATGAAAGTTAGGCAGATACGATATATAAATAAAGGAATTTGAAGAAAAGAAGTAGTCTAAGCAATCAGTTTCACAGTATGCAGTATTATACTTTAATGGTTCTGTGGTGAATACTTATTTTTATCTGTCCAGTGGAGAATGTTTTCATGACTTAAGTAACTGACCAGCTAAAAAAAAGTGAGGAAAATGTGAGAAAAATAACCGTCTTTTAAAATGTCTTCTAATATGTTGATTCTTGAGCAAGAATCTTCTAAAATATTCCAAGTCACACGTAAAAACATTTTTTAAAGCAGCTTCATATTTCCATAGTGTAATATTAGCTTTGGACTTATTTCAGAGTTTTAATATCTGTCTTTACTTGTCTAGAAGTACCTTGCCTGGCTCCTAACTACTGCCTTGGGGCACATTCAGATGAAATGTGGTATGTAGCCACACCTAACACAGTTGGCATTCTTTCATTGAATCCATTCATATGGAAGAAACCATGTTGCAATTTTAGCATTATTTCATCAAAGAGACCAGGCTGGAGCTGTCTTACTTGAATGAGAAGTGTTTTACTTTCTACGTACTTGTTCCTCAGCTGTATGTGTGTGTTTAATATATAATGCTACTGAATAAATGAAGCAATAAATAGAGATGGGATCATGTTATATTGATGTGAAAAATCATTTTCTGATGTGCCAAACAGTCAAATTTTGTAAATAACTTTACCCCAAATTTTAATGAACTAGTGAAATGTTATAATAAATCGTTTTCTACCCAAAAGTAATCATCTTAAGTGTTTTTCCAGTGTTTGAGAACATTAGTGGGACACACAGGTGGAGTATGGTCATCACAGATGAGAGACAATATCATCATTAGTGGATCTACAGATCGGACTCTAAAAGTATGGAATGCAGAGACTGGGGAATGTATACACACCTTGTATGGGCATACTTCCACTGTCCGTTGTATGCATCTCCATGAAAAAAGGTAAGGGAAAATCCTATAGTGGTTGGGAATTCTTTGTTACTTGTGAATCTGAGGCCTTTTGTATACAATTCAGCTGTATAAAACTGTGTTTATTAGATAGTGATAGTGATAACGTGATGTTATTTTAGACTTTAATTATTAGACTTCAGATGTTTCTATGCTAGGAAAGCAGTAGTGTATTGGCTTAAAATTGGAGGATTGTCTAAATTTCCATCTCTTTAGTAGTGTTGTTGGCTTCCTCCTTGAAATTCTGTTTTCTAATCTTAGGTAGCATTTTATTGTACATCTTTGATGACTCATCATCTTCAAAAATTTTCTCTCTCTCTCTCTTTTTTTTTTTTTTTGGTATTTATATCTCTGCTAGTGGGATAAATTCAGGTATTCAGATTTCAAGCTTTTGAGTCTTTTTAATTATCCACCCACCCTACCTCTACTCCATTGTATCTCCTTATATCTAGGCAAAAGCTGAGGCCCATGGGTTTTAGTTTATTCTCATTACCAGTCACCTGAACTATTGACATAGCTTTCACACTTGGTTTTCTCACCTTTTACACGGCTGACAGAGAACCCTTTTCTAATTATGATAGTGTCACTGCCCTTTGAGAGCCTTCTGTTGTCTATCGAATCGAGGAAGAAATCCTCAATCCGGTTTTCAAAATAGTTTCAGCCAAACCAGACTGCTTGCCTTTTTTTCTTCTCACTGCCTTTGCTGTTGCTTTGATCTCCTCCTACAAAGGCCTCCTATTAAAATCCTTTCGATCTTCTATTGGCATGTCTTCACAGTATCCCTGTTAAACAAATGTGATTTTGACTTTACTTTGTCAAAAAAAAGGTCTGTCGGTTCTTACCATGAATCTACTGCAGTCCTTACCTTTGTTTCTGTCCACAGCATCTTCTTTATGAGAACTATTACATTAAGCAGATTTCATGCTAGATTGTAAAATGTGAAGAAAAGTATCTTTTCACGTGTAATTTGAATCTACTTTGAACAGTGTGCTCTAGTATTAAAATTTGGGGGGTTGATATTAAGAGACCTTGTATTTCAGTTCCCAATATGTTCTGACTTAAATCTCTCAGTGCTCTCATTTTCTACTCTTCCACATGTGGAATCTATGGCCTTTCTTTATCTCTTCAGAATTACATGAAGATACCTGAGTTTTCAGCTCTCCTTTGTAATCCAGCGGCAGTTGTGATATTGGTATCACTCTGGTCTTCAGGAGAGCATAGTTTTAATAATGTTGGGCCAAATTTTTAAGGGATTACTGTTGATACCATGTCTGTCTTCTAAAATCTGTATATCTTAATGCCTCCATAGCCTATTGACTATAAATATAAGCACATGCAGCCTTTGTTTGAGGATATTCTAAAACTAGTTAACTTTACCAGAATTATATGGCGTAAGGCACATATCTTTAGCTATTTAAATTCCAAATTCAGATTTGTTAAATAACGCTTGTTAATTTTTTCCCTAATCTCAAAGAGACTATATGTTCATAATAAAAATTTTGGGAAATAGCTAAAGAATGAAGAAGAAATATAAAATTCAAAATAGTACCACCAGAGTTTTCCCACTAACATTTTATACATGTGGCCCACATTAGCATTTTATTTCTAAAATCAAGATCTTATTGTATATATTTAGAGCTGGTGGTGGTGGCAGTGGCTGCTGCTGCTGCTTCTGCTTCTCCTCTTCCTCCACTTCCTCCCCCTCCTCCTCTTCCTTCTCCTTTTCCTACTCCTCATCTTCCTCCTCCTCCTCCTCCTCCTCCTCCTCCTCCTACTCTCCTTCTCCCCCTTCTCCTTCTTCTCCTTGACCTTCTTCAAATATAATACAGTAGTTTTCAAACTATCCCACACAACCCCAGTTGCTACACAGCCCCTTATAAATGAGGGAACCAAGCAGGCAGAATTCTAGGCTTCTCAACCAGAGTAACTTGACTTGTAAATGTTTATATATCTCAGTTTGACATAGGATTTCTTTGAACACAAGTGTTCCTGCTTAAGAAAATAAAAGATAGAATAACCACTGACTTTATATTACCATGTTTTCTCATGCTGTTAAAAATTCTAATACTTTTTTTCTGTTTTTTCCCCTTACAGAGTTGTTAGCGGTTCTCGAGATGCCACTCTTAGGGTTTGGGATATTGAGACAGGCCAGTGTTTACATGTTTTGATGGGTCATGTAGCAGCAGTCCGCTGTGTTCAATATGATGGCAGGAGGGTTGTTAGTGGAGCATATGATTTTATGGTGAAGGTATGGGATCCAGAGACTGAAACCTGTCTACACACGTTGCAGGGGCATACTAATAGAGTCTATTCATTACAGGTAAGAGATCCTATCTCTCTTATCCCTTAGATGCTTTACTGATGAATCATAAGATTGTTTTACTCAGATAGTTGCTGTCAAATAGCTGATTCAATACAATCCAAAAAATACAGATCACATCATTTTGTTGTTTACATACAGTTTAAAATTGGCATGAAGAAAGCATAAATTTTGACCCATTTAAATGATTTATTTAAATTTTTCTGTGATCCATTTTTTCTATAAAATACAAATATTTGTCTTGAAACCTGAGATTTGGAGCCCTAAGTTTTACTATATTAATTATTGGGTAGATAGTCTCATAGGAAAATAACCTGGATTTTAATAAACTCCTTAGCAGAGGATTAATTTTACCAAAAGCTGCCCCTTTGCCTTGATAGCTGAAGTTGACAGACCATGTAATTGTGATTCCATCCCCATTCAGAGGGGAAATGGAGCCTTTCTACATAAAGCTGCTTTACTAGATGCTCTACCAGCACAGAGCTAGTGATTGGTGGTCATAAAGGAGTAGATTTGACTAAACTGATGTTTTTTGTATCATTTGAACCTGATACTCTTGAGTAGGTTGCCATGCTTTGAAATAAATAGCTAGGTTAATAGCAAGTTTAGAAAATGGGTCTTGTTTCGTTTTCTGAAAGACAGCATTTTCAATGTAAAAATTTGTGCATTACTTACATAGTTTATTTACCATTACTGCCCATTAGTGATCAGCAGATTAGTACTTAGTCCCAGTGCTGACAGTTCTCTATTCTTGGGATATTTGTTTCTTAATTCATGGAATACTGACTATGTCACAAAATACTGACATATAATAAAGATGTGTTAACTTAGAAAAGAGTATGAATTTGGTGGAGAGGGAATTGGCTGAAGTTGTTTTTATGTTTTGTGATATGCTCAGAACCTTAATGAATATAATATTCTCATTTAAGTAGACCATTAGATTGAGAGAAGAGGTAGCAATATTATTATAGCTCTTCAAGGGATTGATATTTATTGACTTTTGGTATAGCTAGGAAGCTGGGGAAGAGAAACCTATATCGCTTGCTTTTATCATCAAAATGCCACCTCTTGTAATTTCAAATATAATTATCTATTGGCATATTTCCTAATTAGCATTTGGTTCTTATAAATGAAATTTTTATTTTATATATAATTTTTTTTAATTTTTATTTATTTTTGAGAGGGAGAGAGTGACAGAGCACAAGTTGGGGAGGAGCAGAGAGAGAGGGAGACACAGAATCTGAAGCAGGCTCCAGGTTCCAAGCTGTCAGCACAAAGCTTGACATGGGGTTTGAACCCACAAACTGTGAGATCATGACCTGAGCCGTAGTTGGTGGATTAACCAACTGAGCCACCCATGTGCTCTTTTTACGTACAGTTTTTAATGGGACTCACTTTTAAACATCATGAGAGTTATCTCTAGTCTTTTCATGCCTTAGTGTGTGTGTGTTGGTAAACACAGCCTTTATTGCAAGCCATGTCCATAGTTTCAGTTTTCTGTTGTGAAGTAAGACTCCAATGGCAGTCCTTATTGAATGATCCATGATATTTAGCTACTAAGTGTGGCCAGATGATCTGAAAGTAGTGTGTTCATTTAAATGTTTTGTTTTGTTTCTGCATCTAGTTTGAAGCCACTGGCCATAAAAAAATAAATAAATAGCAATTCTGATAGAAGCTTCTGAGAACGTGCATGGTAGATTGACTTGATTACATTTATCCTGTTACCTCATTTTGATCCTGGCATTACTTGTTTCCCATGCTTTATTTTCCACCCCTGTAGGATTAAGGTCAATAAATAATAATAAGAATATCCACACTTCTAGTCTAATAAACTATGTCTGTTGTAGTTTGATGGTATCCATGTGGTGAGTGGATCTCTTGACACATCAATTCGAGTTTGGGATGTGGAGACGGGGAATTGCATTCACACATTAACGGGACACCAGTCGTTAACAAGTGGAATGGAACTCAAAGACAATATTCTTGTCTCTGGGAATGCAGATTCGACAGTTAAAATCTGGGATATCAAAACAGGACAATGTTTACAAACATTGCAAGGTAAGGTTTGGCTACTCAGCTTTAGTTGTATTCACTAAAAATGGGTTTGTTAGTCAAAAGAGAAATATGGAGCTCTTCTGTCACAGAAAGAATTAACCTCCTACAAAATGAAAATGTTTATTTTGTAGAAGTTTATGAACACTACCACTCTGGCTTGACAGAACAAGGCTATGCTTGAGAAATTGTTTTAAATTGTGTTTTTAAGATAAAACTGTTTAATCACTTCCTGCATGTACAGTCAACTCTACCTAACCTTAAAGAACATAGTGAAGAAAGATCTTGACTATGTTACGGAAGCAACAGACTCCTTTTGTTTTTTGAGTGATCATATTTTTAAAATTTTGAATTTTTAGTCCAATTTTAAATTAAAGAGCTACCTTACTGGGGGCGGTGGGGGGAAGCACATCTCTGATCTGATAGGAAATTACTTTGGCCATCTGCTTAACTAGGATGGAAGGAATAATAGCACCCGGTAAAATTAAAAAAGAAACATGTGAAAGCCACTAATATTAAATGAGGCATAACAGTGTTAACATTTTATGCTATGATTAACTTCTTTTTATTGGGCTGAGTCCTTAAAATGTGTTGTTTTTTGTTTTGTTTGTTTCAGTGAGGCCATCTGGTGGGCTGTATTCTAGCTTTTTACCTATTGGTATTATCTGTTCTCCGAATTTCGGAATTGTGTCCATTCAGCCTTTGCCTTTGAGTGGTCGAGTCAAAGTGGTAGGGGAGTAAGTCTCATGCCTGTTTGTCCATCAGCAGAATACATAGAATACGTGAAGCTGGGCTGTCCACATCACCACTAAGAATGCTCTTATTCATACAGCCAGAAAACCAAATGTGTGCCTGGTAGCCAGCAAAGCTTTCTGGAAGATAGAAGTCTTGCAAGTCATGTTTCAGTTTACAAAGAGCCACCAGATTTTCTTACAGCCCTGCTGATCCTAAAATACTCACAGTTTCTAAATTTGCAGCATTTTAAATATTTCATTTATTGTATGTTCTAATGTAGAAGTCTACAATTACAGTGTAACTTACCCATCACCATCATTTCTAACCAGTAATTAAATTCCTTTGGTTTTGCCTAGGTCCTAACAAGCATCAGAGTGCTGTAACCTGTTTACAGTTCAACAAGAACTTTGTAATTACCAGCTCAGATGATGGAACTGTAAAACTATGGGACTTGAAAACGGGTGAATTTATTCGAAACCTAGTCACATTGGAGAGTGGGGGGAGTGGGGGAGTTGTGTGGCGGATCAGAGCCTCAAACACAAAGCTGGTGTGTGCAGTTGGGAGTCGGAATGGGACTGAGGAAACCAAGCTGCTGGTGCTGGACTTTGATGTGGACATGAAGTGAAGAGCAGAAAAGACAAATTTGTCCAAATGTGTAGACGATATACTCCCCGCCCTTCCCCCTGACAAAAAAAAAAAAAAAAAAAAAAAAAAAAAAAAAAAAAAAAAAAAAAAAAAAAAAAAAAAAAAAAAAAAAAAAAAACAGAAAAAAAACAGAAAAAAAAGAAAGAAAAAAGAAAAGAAAAAGAAAAAATATCCCTTGTTCTCAGTGGTGCAGGATGTTGGCTTGGGGCAACAGAGTGAAAAGATCTACAGACTAAGAAGGAAAAGAGGAAGACATGACAACCCTAACTGACAAGAGAGGCGTCCGCTGTCTCATCACATAAAAGGCTTCACTTTTGACTGAGGGCAGCTTTGCAAAATGAGACTTTCTAAATCAAACCAGGTGCAATTACTTCTTTATTTTTCTTCTCCAGTGGTCATTGGGCAGCGTTAATGCTGAAGCTTCGTTACAGATTCTGCTAGCCTGTCCTTTTACCACTGAGACCTAGAAAGGAGCTGCAATAACATCCAAACAAGAACTGGCTGACTTTCTAATTAGAGAGCATCTGCAACAAAAAGTCATTTTTCTGGAGTGGAAAAGCTAAAAAAAAAAAAAATTACTGTGAATTGTTTTTGTACAGTTATCATGAAAAGCTTTTTTTTTTTTTTTTGCCAACCATTGCCAATGTCAATCAATCACAGTATTAGCCTCTGTTAATCTATTTACTGTCGCTTCCACATACACTCTTCAATGCATATGTTGCTCAAAGGTGGCAAGTTGTCCTGGGTTCTGTGAGTCCTGAGATGGATTTAATTCTTGATGCTGGTGCTAGAAGTAGGTCTTCAAATATGGGATTGTTGTCCCACCCCTGTACTGTACTCCCAGTGGCCAAACTTATTTATGCTGCTAAATGAAAGAAAGAAAAAAAAGCAAATTATTTTTTTTTATTTTTTTTCTGCTGTGACGTTTTAGTCCCAGACTGAATTCCAAATTTGCTCTAGTTTGGTTACAGAAAAAAGACTTTTTGCCACTGAAACTTGAACCATCTGTGCCTCTAAGAGGCTGAGAATGGAAGAGTTTCAGATAATAAAGAGTGAAGTTTGCCTGCAAGTAAAGAATTGAGAGTGTGTGCAAAGCTTATTTTCTTTTATCTGGGCAAAAATTAAAACACATTCCTTGGAACAGAGCTGTCGCTGCCTGTTCTGTGGAGAAACTTTTCTTTTTGAGGGCTGTGGTGAATGGATGAACGTACATAAGAAAACTGACAAAATATTTTAAGAATATATAAAACAAAATAAAGTTGCTGGTCAGTCTTAGTGTTTTACAGTATTTGGGAAAACAGCTGTTACAGTTTTATTGCTCTGAGAAACTGACAAAGCAGAAACTATTCAGTTTTTGTAGTAAAGGCGTCACACGCAAACAAACGAAATGAATGAAAAAGTCAAATGGTTTGCCTCATTCTCCAAGAGCCACAACTCAAGCTGAACTGTGAAAGTGGTTTAACACTGTATCCTAGGTGATCTTTTTTTCCTCCTCCTGTTTATTTTTTTTTGTTTTATTTATAGTCTGATTTAAAACAATCAGATTCAAGTTGGTTAATTTTAGTTATGTAACAACCTGACATAATGGAGGAAAACAACCTTTAAAGGGATTGTGTCTATGGTTTGATTCACTTAGAAATTTTATTTTCTTATAACTTAAGTGCAATAAAATGTGTTTTTTCATGTTAGTATGCCTGTTTCTTCCACTGAAGTAAATAATGCTTCATTATAAATCTTTAGGGTTTGTCTCTAATATTTAGGGTATCAAAGTCTTAGTCTCTTTGCATTCCCTGTAATGTGATCCAGAGATCAACACTTCCAGGCCTGTGTCATGCAACTAAAGTAAGAAAAATGTGCCACAAATGCAAATTTTGTTTATCGCATTAGACTATAAAGAAGGACACTCCACTGTGCCTATCTCTATATGACATTGAATGTATCGGGGTCCCTCAAATGGTTTCAGAACTTTGGTGATAGTTACAACTAGAGTTCCTATATTAAAAAAAAAAAAAGTTCATTTTTAAAATTTGACCACATGTTGAGTACTTACCAGGAATTTTCTGTGCAAATCTCTGAACCTCCCACCCTCCCTGAGAAGTAGGTACTATTAGCTTCCATTTTGAAGTTGAGGGCAGAACTGGCTCAGACTGGATAGGCGATTTGTCAGAAGCTGGATAACTAGCAGAGTGCCTGCATTCCCAGCCATGCTCTTTTAGAAGAAAGAAACCTAGGGGTCCCTGGGTGGCTCGGTCAGTAAACTTAGGCTCAGGTCCTGATCTCACGGTTCGTGAGTTCAAGCCCCACGTCAGTCTCTGTGAGCCTGGAGCCTGCTTCTGAGTCTGTGTTTCCCTCTCTTTGTCCCTCCCCTGCTTGTGCTCTTTCTCTCTCCAAAATAAACATTAAAAAGAAGAAGAAGAAAGAAACCTAGAATTTTGACAGGCTACAGCAGAGTTTGGGAACAAGAAAGTCATTTTTGTGGTACTTTCAGGCTCTTCTGTTGCTGTTTTAGTCAACAAATCTAATATTTTATTAATGTGAAAAAACAAAGTTCAGCTATTCAAATCATGTAGCCACTCAAATAGCATGTTCTGTCTCCTACCCTCACCCCTTCTATATATTTAACATTTTATTTAATCCCCAGGCCATAGATCAAAATCTAAAACTTAATAAAAACAGATGCTGCTTAGAGAGTACATTTCTCACAGTCATAAAGTGTGTGTTCTTTACTCATAGAGCATCAGTTCTTAAGCCTCAGGCTCCCAGAGGCACTAAATCTGAACATCCAGAATGGGGTCCAAGAATCTGCATTTAAACTAGCTCACCAGGTGAGTTGTGTTCACAACTTAAAACCACTACCTTATCCCTACTGTTGCTCATTTGGTTCATTAGTCCCCAGCACATCACAGGCACAGGACCATCAGGGAGAAGTGATAGTTAAATGGAAAGATGGAAAAACCACATGGCTAAACACAGGCAAAAATCACCTTAGGTCCCGAGTCCAGGGGCCGCAGCCCTGCCTGCGTTAGGATGAACCAGCACCTAGCCCAGAGTCATCACTACTGTTCGCGTCGACAACCCTGAATGATCAAGAAGTCATGATTCTATTTGGTGATCTCGAAACTATGTGCTTTTTCATAATAACAAATGTGGTTTAGCTGTAGTATTATTAACAAAAAACATCATCTTTGAAAATAAATGTACATTATAGAATAGAATTGAGTTCACAGGATTTGCAGACAACAAGGTTGGAATTCAAATCCCAGTTTTCTAATACCAGGTAGTTACAGGAATTTCATTAGATTTCTTGAACTCCTGTTTCCTCATCGTTTCTTATGTAGAGAATACCCACCTGCTGAGGTTATTGTGGGGATTAAGTGAAATGTTTTAAAGCACATAACACTGATGGCACTTAAAGCTCAATAAATGGTAGCTACTATTAAAACTCGAGGAAAATAGACCCAGATAATTGTTACTTTCTATATTTGGGAACAATTGAATGTGTTTGCAACTCATTCAGGTATGTAATAAAAATAGTATTTCTCTATATATAGTAATTTGTTTTTTTAAGTGGAGTCCCATAGATTTCTCATTTGAGTCTTACAGAAACCTTCGTGAGGTAGATTGGTATGGGGCACCTAACAGTGATTTTGTACACATTTAGGTGTTCATTAAATATTATTTTATGAGTAAATGAATAATCTTTCTTACAGTGGATCTCTTCCTGAAAGAGAATATGTTAACCTCATGCTAAAAGAATTAAATTATTGTCGGCATAGTAGGAAAGGTCATGAAAAGAACAGTTTTGTGGCTTCCTTAGTGAAGAAGTTCACCACTTTATATAATGGAATTTTTAAATCTTCACACCAGAATACAGGCAGTCTCCACATTAGATGTTACAAGTTCTCAAAGATCAAACAATGCCTGAAACTAATGCTAAAATGGAGACACAGAAGTAGTCCTTTAAGGCCCGTAGCAGGTGCTCAGTAAATACTTGTTGAATTGAGCAAAGGGGGTTTACTGTCCTTTTTTTATTATTGGAATTGTTTATAATTTTGGTGTTTTGAAACTCACTTATTGAGATTCAGTAACCACAGCTATTTCATTCAATTGCAACAGCCAATGTATGTCGAATGGTTAAGTAAATGTTTTATTTCAAAAAGTAGTTTATACTTACTTGTTGGTATTAACTGTTTTTAAGCCACTTTCTCTATGACTTTTGAGCTAGTCTATTATAAAGCCTCCTTTCTATTTATCTGAATTGATTAGAGGCTATAATCAAACAATGAAACGAAGAAGAACTTCTCTTCTCTTCTGAGTGAAACAGGAAATCAAGGGCAGCTCCCCCAGACCCCGGCTGCGCCTTGCTTTCCATGCACTCTTCTCCCCGACACTCACTGCACTTAGTGAAAGGTCTGCCCAGACGCCTGCAAAGAGCCTGCCCGGTCCCATCCTGGCTGCTGTAACTCCTCTCATTCTAGACCGGGACCAGGTACCAGTGGCTCTGCCTGGCAGGAGTGAGTTCACCTTGCGTTCTCTCCTGAAGCCTTCTCTCAGACACAACTTGCGTCATTTTCCTTCTGTGAACCATCCTCCCCCCCCCCCCCCCCCCCCCCCCCCCCCCCCCCCCCGTCCCCCGTCCCATAAAAGTCGGTCAGGATTCTAACCTACACTCCATCAGATTCCTCAGCCAGTAAAGGATTCAGCCTTGTGCCGGACAGCAGCTCTGTGAAAACCTCCTGTTTGTCTGTTCTACTGAGAGTCAAAGGGGTTTAGTGTTGCTGATTGATTAATTTGAATAAATGCTTCTGACACAGGCTGTTTGATATTCCCTGCCGTAGTGCATTGTGAGGATGATGACACACACACACCCATACAAGAATATATTGATTAGAACGTCGGAAGAAGCCTCTTGTTCTCAGTCATAATAACATCATTTCCCATAAGCCCTTTCCCTCTTCATCCATGCAAAAAATAGGAGTGGCCCATATGAAGGGAAAGTGTTGGTTGTCATGAGGAGAGTTCCTGAGTCTTTTCCAGGATAGATCAGT